TATATATGAATATATAAAAAATATATCAAAATGCGTGTGGGTACTCAAATGAAAGCTCTTGATGAGTGTAACATCAGGATGAGCTTATATCAAAATTAATTTTATCAAAATTATCTTTTTTTTCGTTTAAAAATTGAATATACAATTTATTTTTTTTCTTAAAAAAAAATCTGATAATTTTCCAAAATTTTTGTTAAATAATTACTAAATAATAAAATTTTTTTTTGTACTTACAGATTAGAAGAAGCATGTCACAGATGGAAAATTTTAAATCCAAACAAGTGGAAGAGGAGTCAATTAAATTGTCCTTAATAAAATCACCGGCTAATTACAGCAAGAGCAACAACCAGTGGTTGTTATTATTATTGATGATTTATGTTTGTTTAATTCGGTTTTACAACTGGAGTAAATCTAAAAAAAAATCATACGATGTTCTGGATGTTGTGACCATAAAAGATAATTGTGATGATACTTACAATTACATTTGTAACAATTTAACAGTGACATTATCATTAATATCATTATCATTAGCATTGCAGTGTTCAAGTGTTACAGTAATGGCTATGACTAATTACATCAAGTAATTTATATATCTATGTATCTTGTTAAGTGACGTGACTCAGTAACTCTTATTTAAAAGATATTCTTCTTAATATTTTTTCATCCGCTGGTCTTTAATAATCGGCCCGCTAAATTATAAGACAACGACAAGTTGTACAACGGCCTTACTGCTGGCCTGGCCAGCTACTATGCGAATTGCAGATCTTACAATTCTTATTGCGGTGAGTTTTTTTTTTTATTATTATTTTAATGCTTATTAATAATTGCTAGCAAGCTGCAGTCACTACGTGACTGCCAACATTATCGAATTATCTATATTATTAAGAGAATAAAATGGGTTTTTATAGTGTGAACTATTGACATTTTTAAAGATATAAGCTCATCCCGATGTTATACTCATCAAGACCTTTCATTTGAGTACCCACATCAATTTTCCATATATTTTATATATTTATATATTATTATATATATGTATATATGAAAAATATATCAAAAATGCAAGTGGGTACTCAAATGAAAGCTCTTGATGAGTGTAACATCGGAATGAGCTTATATTTTTAAAATATATGTTATATGTATATATAAATTTTAATTAATAAATCACCTTGTATTTTGAGAACTATTGACATTTTTAAAGATACAAGATCATTCCAACACTGCACTTATCGAGACCTTTCATTTGAGTACCCATATCAATTTTTCATATATTTCATATATTTGTATATATTGTATATATGTATATATGAAAAATATATCAAAAATGCAAGTGGGTACTCAAATGAAAGCTCTTGATGAGTGTATCATCAGGACGAGCTTATATCTTTAAAATATATATTATATATATGTATATATCAAAAATATATAAAAAATGCATGTGGGTACTCAAATGAAAGCTCTTGATGAGTGTAACATCGGGATGATCTTATATCTTTAAAAACGTCAATATTTAAGAAAGTACAGTACAATTTAACAAAAGTCATTATTTAATAACGCACAATTTTATTTATTTATAGTTCACAAGTCACGGCAGTCACACAGTGACTGCAAGATTGCTAGTGATTAATTAATGATTTTTTTATATTTATGACACTATACATAGTTTAGGAAATTTTTAAATAATTTTTAAAAATAATAGTATTATCACAGGATTAATTAAAAATAATTCAATAGACAAATGTGACAGAACAAATTTATAGAACCAAAAAACTATTAAAAACTCCTTCAAAAACTTTACACAAAAAATTGACTACTAAAAAATATGTAAAGTTACAATTTTGAAGAAAGTAAGAGAGATATAACAAAATTGATAGGAGACTTTTTTGTAGGAAGTAAAATTTAAAAATTCAAAATTTTATTTATTAATAATATTGCAATTTAAAAAACTAATTTTATCATAAAAAAAACTCGAGTCAAAATTTTTTCTTATTCTTTTATGAATATATTATTGATTATACTCATATAGATGTCGAAGCAATTCCAAGCCTGGATAAAAAAAACTAAAAAATATTTTTAATAACGATAACTCATCATGTAATTAGCTCCGTAAAACTTGTCGGGGTGCTAATTATTTTCCTCGTTAAATCCCCAACAAAAAACCTCACACACCGAGAGATTGAGTAAAATATTGTGAATTTAATAAAATTCGTATGGAATAAACTGACCGGTCATGGTTGTTAATTACCAGCAATAATAATAATAACAATGGCTGTGATTATGGATAGGAATAAAGTGGCGAGAAAGATGTGTAATATAATGTAATATGTAGGAGAAAAGTTAATAATGTAGATAGAATAAATGTACATAAAAGAGTCACACGCTGGGACGGTAAGACGCTAAGACGCTGAATGTTTGGACAGCGTGGCGGACATATATACTCGCAAACTTCCAACACCGCATCTTTCTTGGATGATTGACGTGTATAAACATTTACTTAGTCACCTTGGACACGGTGTCTAACATTCACGGTTTATTCCTCCGACATTTTAATCCTATCCCTTTTTATTTTTTTGTATAGTTTATATCATTTATAAAATTCTACTTGTTATTTTCTCTAATTATTTATCATTATATATTATAAAAAAAAATTACTTTGGAAAAAAAAAAGGATTCTTACAATTAGTTAAGTTGAAAAATTTTATTTTTTCAACTGAAATAAAATTTCTTTTTAAATTAATTTTTGAACAACTTTTGTTCAAAAAAAATTTTTATAGGGCCAATATTTTCGTCATAATATAAAAAATTCGAATCATTAATTATGAATAGTTATTTTAAATTTGAGAAAAATTTTTATAAATTTTAATTTTGAAATTAAAGCGAAAATATTATTTTTTTCTTTTAATCATAAGAAACATTTTTTTTTAAAAACTAAATTTTGAACTTTTGTTCAAAAAATTTTTTAGGACCAATATTTTCGCCTTAATATCAAAAATTTGACCCTTTAATTACAAACTATAATTTAAAATTTGCGGCAAAAATTTTAGCGCTAATGATAAGTTACAAAATTAAAAAAAAAAAAAATTTAAAACTTCATTAAAAATCATAAATTAAAATTTTCTTCAAAAATATTTCACCACTTAATAATTAAAAAAAAAAAAACAATTTTTTTAATATCAACCGGATGAAATAAATAAATAAAATTCTCCATTTTGACAAAAATAAAATTTATGAATAAAAGTTAAATAAATTTTCTAGAGTATCAATTAAAAGCCCCGATAAAATTTTGTCGAGCTGCAAAAAAAAAAAAGGAAAAAAAAAATAAAAGCAATTAGCATATTTGAATATTTTTGCTCTGCATATAAATGGATAAAATGGAGCTTCTTCCTTTCATGCAAGCTATTATTAAATTACAGCGATTACATCGGCGATTTATCAATACTTAAGTTGACAAGTCAACGATGATACCGATGGTGGAAAAGTGTATTTCGATAAAAGAGTATTAATTTAAAAAATGAAATGTAATATTTCCCTGGCGCCAAGTCTCGATAATATTATCATACTTTTATAATCAGTATAATAATCTAATGGTTTAAATATATAAATATATAAATGGTAAATGCGTAATAGTAATGTATGTTTAATACGCGTGTAATAATGAGTCCGGTATGTGAGTACAGATTAGAGTAGAGTATAGTGAGACTTACTGCAAGTATGGTATTAAATAAAACACTGTCAGGGGTCAATATACACCTTTATATAAATATATCTCATATATAAATATATATATATATAAATGTTAGATATGTTATGGTTGGTACTTATATTAACACACGAGAGTACAGCGTGTACCTGTCGTTCAACTCGAAGTGTCGTAAAATACTTAGAGCATAACCGGACAAGACACAAGATAAAGATCATTTTATTATTTATATTTATATATTATTTTATTTTATTTTATTTAGTTTTTTTTTATGTTCGCAATAGATTTTTTTCCCGGCATTTTAATTTTAATGTCTCTATTTAGATTTTGATCTAATGAAAATTATTACAACTTTTACTTAAATCTTGGGTAATAATATTATTCACCGACAAGTTTATCATTTTTATTACACTAAATTTTTATTTAAAAACCTTGAGCCAATATATATTTTACAAATAATAATTTTTACAATTAAAAATTTTTGTAAAATCCAAAAGTACGCGCTTTTATTTTTAAGAAGAATATAAGTTGTATTAAATGGACAATTCAAAAAATTAAGATTTAATTGTACACTGATAGAAGGATTTGTTAACTATTAATGATTTAGTTCACTTGAAAACAATTATTTAATGAATTAAATATTTTTAAACATTAAATAAATATTTATTTGAGAGAAAAGTACATTTATTGATAGTTAATAAGTATTTATTAGCAATCTTGCAGTCACTATGTGACTGCTGTGACTTGTGAACTATAATAAATAAAATTTTGCTTTATTAAATAATAAATTTTGTTAAAATGCTCCGTAATTTCTTAAATATTGATATTTTTAAAGATATAAGCTCATCCTGATGTTACACTCATCGAGAGCTTTCATTTGACTACCCACATGCATTTTTAATATATTTTTTATATATACATATATCTAATATATATAAATATATGGAATATATGAAAAATTGATGTGGGTATTCAAATAAAAGCTCTTGATGAGTATAACATCAAGATAAGCTTATATTTTAAAAATATATATTATATATATGTATATATATATGAAAAATATATCAAAAATGCATGTTGGTACTCAAATGAAAGCTCTTGATAAGTATAACATCAAGATGAGCTTATATTTTAAAAAACTTCAATATATAAGAAAGTACAGTGGAATTTAATGTAGTGACTCCAAGGTTGCTAGTAACCTTTAATGTTACAAGCAGTAAACCAGGGTTTTAGTCACGGTACATAAGACGACATGATACTTGAAGTTTACGTACATATAAAGTATGTGACGGCGTTGATATTATTTATATAAAGTATAGAGTGTAGAGTGAGCACAATCTTTAGTAATCGCTGTTAACTGCACGCTCGTCGTCGCATTTTTAACTCTAATAAATAAAGGACTTAGATAGGTATAATGACACGTGATTTAAGTACTTGATTAATTGAACTCAATAACTAATTTTATCATTATAAATTTATGCCACCGTTATAAAGATACGGATTTATTGTTTTTAATCGATTTATTTATTACCAATAATCCTTTATTTAAATTCTTGTTTATGCTTCTAAGTCAATGATAAACTTTTACTTTCTTTTGCACGCCTCCAAGCGCGAAAGCAAGTAAATTATCGCTCTAAACTCGCTTTATCGAAACCAACTGACTTTCTTAAGGAAAAAAATTTCTCTATTTTATTTATATTGCATTTATGAAATAAAAAAATTTTTTTATCAGTGTTATAATTACGGAGATCAAAGTACACTCCTAGTGTAAAGAATATCTATAAAAAAATAATACGTAAAAATACTTTTGTTATCTTAAAATTAATTTTTAAATGGTTATGCTTTTAGTACCCACATGCATTTTTTATATATATATATATATATATATATATATATATGAAAAATTGATGTTGGTACTCAAATGAAAGGTTTTGATAAGTGTAACATCAGGATGAGCTTATATCTTTAAAAATGTCAATAGTTCACAAGATACAAGGTCATTTCTTAATTATGGTAGTCAAACAACAGAGGATGACCCCCCGAATCAAATTGCATAACTTTTTTTTTATTGAGTCTTAACCACAAGCTGTAAACTTGTAATTTCATTACCAAAGTAATAAATGTTAACATTTATAGGTGGTTTGGCTGACCGCAGTCCTGTCGCGGTTTGTTGACGCCAGCAAGCTAAGAAATAATTTGACGCGGACCATCCGAGACACATCTTTTCATGGTGCTTCTTTATGGTGAGTTTATTGTTTTTACTATTACTATTATTACTATTATTATTTTTACGCGTGACAGATGTCTAAAGGGTGGATAAAATTTTTTTTGTTAATTTTTGAAAGATTATTTTTGATAATACTTGATTTTAATTTATTTACAATTGTAATTAATTACAGGTCACAAGAGGAACAAGTAACAAAACGAATAGGATTAACATACCGCGAAATCCAAAGCATATTGAGGCGGGAAGGCGGGGAGGAAGGGCTGCCCGTCGACTGCTGCCCAACAGTCGAAGAAATAACCGAGCCTACTGGGGGAAAAAACAGGAACGAGTCGTATGTAGAGTTGTACAGAGGTCTCGAGCAAATACAGAGGTTTTACGAGTACTCTTGTCGACAGGATGTCCTCGACAAGCCCTGTCGGTTTGTAGACCGCAAGCTCAGCGGTCAGTCTAGATGTGTACAAAAGTTTTCTTATTCTTATGCTATTGTCAAGAATCCAGCTGCTGAAATTTCAATTATGGTATATATTTATTTACAAATTACAAATTTTATTTTTTACTTGAAAATTATCCATTATATATAAATATTTACATCCTTTTATTGTTCCCGGAACCTTATGTTGTTCTTAGAACATAACATTGTTCTCAGAACTGATAATGTTCTTGGAACATAATATTGTTCCTGGAACCTAGTAATTTTTCTGGAGCCTAGCTATGTTCTTGGAACCTGATATTGTTCCCATAACTGATATTTTTCTTGGAACATAGTATTGTTCCTGGAACTCTATGTTGTTATTGAAGCCTAACATTGCTCTCAGAACTGATGCTGTTCTTGGAACCTAGTAAAGTTCCTGGAACCTGATATTGTTCCCGGAACTGATGTTTTTCTTGGAACATAGCATTGTTTCTGAAACCTGATATTGTTCCTGGAACCTTATGTTGTTCGTGAAGCCTAACATTGCTCTCAAAACTGATGCTATTCTTGGAATATAGTATTGTTCGTGGAACCTAGTGTTGTTCCTGGAACCTAGTATTGTTCTTAGAACCTAGTATTATTTTAGGAACCTACTATTGCTCCTGGAACCTGATATTATTTTAGAAACCTTGTATTGTTCCGGAACTGATATTGTTCTGAAACTGATATTGTTCTAGGAAATAGATAGTTGGTTACAAGAACAATATCAGTTCCCCTACTATTGTTCCTGGAACCTGTTATTGTTCTTGAAACTTTCTATTGTTCTTGGAACCTGGTAATGTTCCTGTAACCTGCCATTGTTCTTGGAACCTGGTAATGTTCCTAGAACCTGACATTTTTCTTGGAACCTAGTAATGTTCCTGAAATCTAAAATCATTCTCGGAACTTGATATTGTTCTCGGAACCTTATATTGTTCTTAGAACCTATGACCTTACTATTATTATTTTTAATAGTATATATCTACATATATAAAATTTTTTTTTTCAGGAAAATGAAAATATGGAACATCATCACCGACATCGACATGAAGCCCACTACTTTTCAAGTTACGGCTCCTCGTGGACGGTAGACCACATCCGAGTACGCAGTGGATGCAGCTGCGAAATAATCCCTAAGCCCAAAAAGAAACGTCCCTTATCTTTAAAATCTAAAAAACTAAAACACAAACCGAAAAAGAAGGATGATTTCATAACAAACTCAGATGTGTAATTAATCAACCAAACGCTAGGATTATTTATTAATTGTTACCAATTATTTAATCGCTATTCATTAATTCAAAGTCGAAATCATGCTAATCATTTAATTTTTCTATCATTATTATTATTATTATTATTATTATTATTATAATAGAATAATTTATTAATTTTTATGTTACCTTTTTTAACGCGGCCAGTTCTTAACAATTTATCGATAATACTATTGCCGACTAATTATAGAAAATTTTTTTTTTTTTTTAGACTGATTAGACAACTTTTATTTATTAATAAAAATAATCAAAACTTGACATTTTATCATGACAATTAGTGTACGTCCGACCAGATTATTAAATTTATTTTACATTATTGTTTTTTTTTCTTTAGTATTTTATTTAATAAAAATTAAATTGACTGGTGTGAAATAGATTTAATTAATTATCACTGTTTTTAATTATAATAATTAAAATTTTTATCTTGCCATAATGTAGATTTAAAAAAATATTTACAATTTTTATCAAATAATTTTAAAATTAAAAAAATTAAAATTTAATTTATTTCACGCTATTTTATTTAAAATACCGTCCTGCTTAAAAAAAAATTATCGCACTAATTATTAATCTTTATATATTTATATATAATTTTAATTTTTTATTTACTGCCATGTAAAAAATATTGTAAATAATTAATTTAATTATCAGAATAAATATAGTATTAAAATAATCAAACTTAAATTATTTATTAAACAATAATAATAATAATAATGATGAATACACTTAAGTGTAAAAAATTAATTCAGGAATCTGGCCGTCTTCGATGGAAGTTCCGTTGTTATTTCCAGCAGCGAAGCTAAATTGAAACTTAATAATATTTTTACCACTATTGAAGCAATCTACAGAAACACATCTCAGCCCTTTGGTTCCATAATGAGAATCAGGACCTTTGAAAGTAGCTGAGGCGGTGTAAATGGTGTTAGCTATTATTTCGATGGGTTCCTTGAACATCAGCCGGTATGTATAGTTAGATCCATCGCAGCTGAAGCTCGTTGAGTTAGTTGCTATTGTCTTTCCAGACGCAGTGTGGGTCAGTTCTATCAATACTTCGTATTCAGCAGGTCCATGAACGCTTCCGTAAACACCGTAGCCTACCAAGAATATCCGTCTGTCTACGCTGAATCTAAAATATTATATTTAGGTATCAAATTATTTATAAATTCAAAAGGAAGTTTATATACTACGCTAAAGTCAAGTTTTTGGAATCTTATATTATTCTTAGAACATAATATTGTTCTTGGAACCAATTATTTTTTTCGGAAATAATATTGTTCTTGGAACCTATTATTCTTTTCGGAACTAATATTGTTCTTGGAACTTGGTACTACAATTTTTAGAACCTACTATTGTTCTTGGAACCTTATATTATTCTTGAAACCCGGTACTGTTCTTAAAACCTGACACTGTTCTTAGAACCGGTGACTGTTCTTGGAACCTGATATTGTTTTTAGAATCTACTATTGTTCTTGGAACTTATATTGTTCTTGGAACCTGATACTGCTTTTAAAACTTACTATTGTTTTCAGAATTTTATATTGTTCTTGGAACCTAGTAATGTTCTTGGAACCTGATATTGTTTTTAGAACCTACTATTGTTCTTGGAACCTGATGTTAATTTCTAATGTATATACATCAAATTTGTGAGAATATTACAAATTGATAGAAAATAGCAAATTTTTTTTTATTTTATGCTACTACCACCCCGTCCAGGGCTACTACCACAGCGCGGGAAGGGGGGGAAGTGAGTTGGACCGAAATCACCGCTGTGTTTCAAGCATGTCGGATACTGTTCTTAGAACCTACTATTGTTCCCGGAACTTTATATTGTTCTTGGCATCTAGTAATGTTTCTAAAACGTATTTTCCTTAAAACCTGGTACTGTTCCTGGAACATGATATTTTTCTCGAAACCTGGTACTGTTCTTAGAACATAACTGTTCTTACAACCGGGTACTGTTCTTGGAACCTGATATTGTTCCTAGAACCTGCTATTGTTTCCAGATCCTTATTTTGTTCCTGAAACCTAGTATTGTTCCTGAAACCTAGTATTGTTCCTGGAACCTAGTATTGTCCCTGTAACCTAGTAATGTTCCTGGAACCTAATGACTTCATTATTATTGTGTTAAATTAAGGTTTTTATTTCAAACTTTCATAGATTTTTCTAACCAGAAAAAAAAAATGAATAAAATTACTAAAGTATACCTTATACGATCACTAGTTCCATTGTAACCCCAACGACTATCTGTTTGCTGGAACCTGCAGACTGTTAATTCTTTTCCCATCATACGACATCTTGGCATAGCTTCAAATCCAACTGCTGGTTTTGGATTGACCGTAAAGTATAAAAATAAAGAAACTACCTGAAAAAATTTACAAAATTTATATTAAATAAATTAAATAAAATAATTTAATAATTAAAAATAAATCTTTGAAAAATTAACAAACCTCTCTGTCAGTCAACAAGCCACATTGAGCTGGTCCCATTGCAAATTCCTCGACAGACATCAATGGAAACCGAACCAAAGACAACGCTCTCCCTAGCACAGATCTCTGATTTTCTGGAGTAACTGGCAATTGTTGTCTAACACACTCAGCTTCGGACCATCTAAAAAAAATCCTTAAAAATTATAAAAAAAAAAAATAATAAATATAAAAAAAAATTACCTGACAACAGCCTGGAAGATTTTTGACTCTCTGACTCTTAAAGTGTCTCTTTCAAGAACTACCATCAAGGTATCAATATCAATATCCGTAAATCCATCAGCATTAAGCGCGTCGGTGGTGAACTTGTCGATAGTATCCAAGCAAACAGCAGCCAGCTGCTGTTCATCAAAGAGCCTAGCTTGAGTAAGTAATAAAAATGCGTTGTCGTGGGTGAGATGACTGCGAAGAAATTCAACGCAGTGTTTTTCCAATGGAGAAACTGCGTATTTTTTAGCGGTGTAGAGAGTAGTCATCACCGTGTCGGGATCAATCTGGATTTCGTCGGTATATAGGAACAATAAGACCGCGAGAAAAGCAGCAGGCTCTACGTCTGGTACTTCTATTTCTGCTGAGGCCGTAGCGAGAGTTCCATTGAACATGGCGTCAAAAACTGCGCTGCCTGATGAGAGCACCAGCTTGTGGGCGGGAATTCGTTGCTGCTGTCCAACTCGACCCACTAAAAATCTTACGTCTGATAGAATTTCATTGTTGAACAAAAATGCAAATCTTTCTTTCATGGTTGTTTTGCTGCCTTGCCAGTTGTACAGTTGTGAGGATGCTAGCTGGCGAGCTGGAGCTTGGTGGACTTCTGCTGGTGGATCATTGTGAGGACGAGCTTCTAAGTGGAGAGTGTTTACTGAATTACTTGGTAATCTGAAAAATTATTAAGTATTTTTAGGTATATTTTAAATAAATAATCTATATTATTAAGAAAATAAGAAAAATGTTGTCTCCACGATAGTCATATCAGTTGCATTTGAAAATACTCTATCTCTAGATACATAATTAAGAAATGACCTTGTATCTTATGAACTATTGAAATTTTTAAAGATATAAGCTCATCCCGATGTTACACTCATTGAGACCTTTCATTTGAGTACTCACATCAATTTTTCATATATTTTATATATTTATATATTCCACAAATACCATATATATGAAATATATAAAAAATGCCATGTAGGTACTTAAATGAAAGGTCTCGATGAGAGTAACATCAAAATGAGTTTATATCTTAAAAAATGTCAATAATTAAGAAATGACCTTGTATCTAGTGAACTATTGACATTTTTAAAGATATAAGCTCATTCCTATATTATACTCATCAAAACCTTTCATTTGAGCACCCATATCAATTTTTTATATATTTTATATATTTATATATATTATATATATATGAA